CCTTAAAGGGAAAAAAAAGAAAAAAAAAAGGGATATTTCAAGCTGTTTGTACCCCTGCCGACGAGAGTAGATGAACGGTTAACTTCCAACTTGCACCTTTACAGAATTACAATGCACTTGAGGTTAAAGTTAAGCTTCGCCTAGACGACGCAGGTTGAGGACTTAAGCTTTGCATGGACGATCCAAGATACTACGTCCATCTATCTATCTATCACTGGTGGAGAATCCATCTTTACTCCCGGTTTATAACCTCTTGTAGTTCCGGTTTTCTAACCGGGACTACGAATACAAGACTAAAAATAGCGATCTTTAGTCTCGGGTGAAATAACCAGGAGTAAAGATCTCCCGGTTGGTAACACCAACCGGGACTAAAGAGAGGAATCTTTACCAACCGGTACTAAAGAGAGGGGCAGTCCCGGTTGGTCCATTTTCTTTTTATTTTCTCCCAAATCGAGTAAGATGTATATACCATATCAAACACCAAATCCTCAAATCGAGTGTCATGCGTATACCCAAATCCCCAAATTAAAGTAACATCCCAAATCATTCACATCACAAATACAAATCCTAAGTTACATCACAAATCTTAAAAAAAAATTTACACACAAATCAAATGCATCACGGATCGATTATACATCTCAGATCTATGCAATGAGTCACAATTTACAAAAAGAAATTATACATCTCTCAATCACAAATTATAAAAAAAAATGGAGAGGAGATCTGGCGCGGTGCCGCCCACCGCTGCTCGCCACGGGCAGTGCCTGCCGCCCCGTGCACGGCCCCGCCGCGCGCCTTGCTCACTGCCTCACCACCGGTGTGCGAGGCCGGCTCCGCCACCACCCGGCTGCCGTGTGAGGGCGCCTCTCTTCTGGAAGCTGCCGCCTGAGAAGTGGGGAGGGGAGGGGAAGGGATGGGGCGGATACAGAGGAGAGGAGGTAGAGGAAGAGATGGGAGGAGGAGGCGCCTCCCGTCCGGCCACCGCCTGAGAAGTGGAGAGGGGAGGGGAGGGGAGGGGAGGGGATGGGGCGGATATAGAGGAGGTAGAGGAAGAGATGGGAAAAGGAAGAGGAAGAGATGAATCTGAGTGAGGAGTGGAGGAGATAAAGGTCGGAACTTATTAACTGATCATGTCGATCTTTTTTCCCGGTTGGTAACACTAACCGGGACTAGAAATTTATCTTTAGTCCCGGTTGGCGTCACCAACCGGGACTAAAGATAAAGGAGGGGGTCTGACACCATGCCTCTCCGTGCATGTCGTTCTTTTATCCCGGTTGGTGTTACCAACCGGGACTAGAAATAGATCTTTAGTCCCGGTTGGTAACACCAACCGGGATTAAAGATAAAGGAGGGGTCTGACACCACCTGCCGTTTTTTGAACCAGGACTAAAAATAATCTTTACTTCCGGTTGGTGTTACCATTCGGAACAAAAAATCAAAAAGTAGCTCTAACCTTAGTCCCGGTTTTTATTATAACCGGAACTATTGTGGAATTTGCTGGATGGACCAAAGATGGTTTTTCCAGTAGTGTATTATATACTAAAAGTCCATTAAACGTCCTACAAACGCTCTCATACCGCTATATGGCACTCTACAAATGCTTCTATGTTGCCACGTGGCTCTCTAATAAATTTAGAGAAATTAAAAAAAATCTAACCGTCAGTTATCATTTAATCTGGTGGACCTATTTTTTTAACCATTGGATCTATAATAAAAATAGCCAATTAAATTTATCCTGAAAAGGCCCACGTACATGCCCCCATACGTGCATGAACGTACGTACTTCATGCACCGGGCCCCACGTTCCTCTTTTTTTTCTCTTTTTCACGCACATGAGATAAAAACCGAATTATTTATTCTATAATGTATTATGTGTTTTATTTATTCATATATTATTAGAGATTTAATATCAAATATATTATTTTGACACGTTGTCATTGTCATTTATCTCCCACTTTAGAGTTCGATCAAGTTCAGTACGTGAGCTTATCCAGTGCACACAGAGTGGTGCAAGTCATTAGCACATAATTAATTGAGTATTAAATATAAAAAATAGAAATAAATTAATTTTATTTTAAAAAAACTTTTATATAAACATATTCGCAATACACGCACCGCGTAATATACTATTTAGTAGTTCGGGAAACATGCTCGATATAAATAAGGGAGTAGCCAATCCGATAAGCACTTTAGAACATAGCCTTAAATGTATTATTTAGTAGTAAAACATTAATATATACTCCCTCCGTCCCAAACTATAAGGCCTATATTTTTTACGCGCTCTTCAACTACATACTTTGACCATTAATTTATTCCATATTATATTCCCAATAAATATGAAATTAACATCATATGAAAGCACTTTAAAATATGAATATAGTGATATAACATGCATAATAATTAGCATATATATAATTAGTATGATTATTAGTCAAAAGTTACCGAGTTTGATTTTCCTTAAAATGAGGTCTTCCTATATTTTGGGATGGAGTAATATACAATATATTTGTATACTTGGTCAATCATAGCCTAAAATATCAAACTTATGTCCTCACTGATTCCCATGTATATAAGTTCTACATATAAGCCACTATCCACTGATTGCTAAATAATATTATTTACGAGGTATCCATGCACAATGCACCTAAAAATTAGCTGATATCCAATGAGCATGTGCGTCATCCAACACTGAAGATAAATGGCGATACTAAGTACACAACCATCAACAAACTATAGAGTAAGTAGACGATGCAAACAATAGTTGACTACAAGTAGATTACAACTGTGAGTAATACCATCCCTACACTTCTACAAACGCTCATAAGATATCATGTGATACTCTAATAAATTAGAAAGAATCTACGAAAAGTTATATAAAAAAGTAAGCATATATCCATCAATTTACACTTAAACCGATGATCCATTATTTTCAACCATTAAATTAAATTAGATATATGAAAGTAATCCATCTGTCCTAAAAAACCATATGATCTGTCTCTACATACGTACACAACTCCTATATAATTACGTACACAATAGATATAAAAAGAAAAAAAGGAATAGTGTGTATGTGATTCGTCCCATATGGTAGTTTTCTCTTTCTTTCCAGCTCTAAGATTTTCCTAAATTGAGGATATATATATATATATACATAGCAACCACTCCTAGCGAGGTGGTAAAACAAGCCATTGCCTATAAAAACATTGCTTCACTCTCATCCCGTCAATTTTTTTTGAAAGTATTTTTTTACTAGCAATGTAAAAGTCAATCATATGAGCTCATATATATATATATATATATATATATATATATATATATATATATATATATATATATATATATATATATATATATATATATATATATATATATATATATGTGTGTGTGTGTGTGTGCAAATGCACACTATGAATACACATGCATGCACCATATCCCTATATTAGAAAAATATTCATTCAGAAAAATGAAAAAACAAACGTATGTACGAGAGACTACTATTCACTAGAAAAAAACATACATATAACTATATTATATCTATTTTTATGTCACCCTCATCCAAATAGTTTTAACAAATTAGCTCAAATTCCAACGCATATTAACTCCCATGTACATGCATAGGTGAATTAGATGTATAATACAAGAAAAAAAAATCAAAACTTATACTAACTTGTAAGTTAGCAAAGGATAACTGTGTCACTAAAGCTATTAGATAGTCGAATGATCAACCCTGCTATTTTTTTAAAAAAAATATCTATACTACTAAAATTTAGTACTATTGATTAACACCTTAAACAAATTTTGTCTACTCTATACAATAAATCAACTCAAGACACAAAAAAAAACTTTTTTTATCACCTCCATCTTCTTTTCACTCATTCCATAAAGGATGCCAAGTATGGATCTCAACTGGCTACATTGTAGTAATTATATAGGAGTATGCATTTTTCGGTTAAGGTGGTCCGAGTGAGATGTTACCGTTGACAACAATGCTTAAATGGCCTGCTACTTACCGATAAAATTATGTTACCGTTGAGGAGCACGACTATATCAATGCGGGACCCATGAATCAAGGCATTTGAAAAAAATCCTTAGCGGCTATAGTCGGCTTCATCCGATCGTCAAAGGAGCATTCATATATAATTTTAATTGTTTTATCCTATTAATTGGTAGAAGCGGTATTTTTAAATATTTATATGTAGATTTGGACCTGTGAAATATGGGCACTTGGGTATAATGTGGATATTAACTTTTTATGGTATTAATGATGTATTGGGGTTTTTTTATACAGCTGCAATTCCATCGATTAAAAAGACACACATACTTCAAAACAATGATAATAAGTTATGGTGAATGGTGAATTTACATATAATTGGGATAAAGTGATTTTTAGTTGGACATGATAGCCATTTTGATCATTTACTACATATCAAAATCAATGGTCTATTTCTTACAGTGAATATGGCGAGATATGGTTTCTTTTAGTATTCTTTTTATAGGAAATAAATAAATTACCCATACATCTGCGCGGGCTTTCTTCCTAGTTCGTTTTAAAATATAAAAGATTTGAAGAATATAAATACATACAAATATTTAATCTCTTATATTTTAAAACATATGTAGTATATAACTCTTTTTATCCTATAATAAATAAATGATTATTTCTTTTTCTCAAAGATTGAGGATGTAGCTAGCAAAAGTACAATATTGACACAAAATATGTAGAAGATAGAATAAACTAGTAAAAAATTGATACGTACAGATTAAATCAGTACAATCCATACAAAAAAAAAGGTAGGTACGTGGGAATTTATTTTGGTAAAATTTAAAAACCAAAATATCTTATACTATGAACTGAGGAAATGGTAAAATTTAGCGGTGAACAGTACCCTCCAAAAATTTAGCCATAATAATAACTCACAAAAAGGCCACGTGTGATGGACACGCTGCTGCTCTTCCACCGAACCCAAAAATGGCGGCTACTTGAGCTTCCCCTCTCCTCACTCCCCCTTATTCCTTCCTTCCCTCGATTCCTCTTCTCTGCAGCAGCTTCACACTCCCACTCCCACTTCTCTCTCTACAATCCAAACTCACTCTCTCCCTCTCTCTCTCCTCATCACCAATGCCGCCCACGCTCGCGCTCCTCCTCTTCCTCGCCCTCTCGGCGGTGGCCGCTGTCGGCGGCGCCGGCGACGTGCGGCGGGTGCTGCACGAGCCGCTGTTCCCCATCGAGTGGACACCGCCGCCGTCCACGGCGTCGCCGTCGCCACCGTCCCCGGACTTCTCCTCCGACCCCTCCACGCCCGCCACCCCCGTGGACAACGGCGGCCCGGCGCTGCTCCCGCCGCCGCCGCCGAACACAGTCGCCGCCGACGTGTCGTCGTCGCGCAGCGGGCCGGACCCGCGGGCGCGCGGGGGAGGCGGCGGCGGCACGCCAAAGGCCGCCATCGTGGTCGCCTCCGCCGCCGCCGCCGCGGTCCTCGCGCTGCTCGCCTTCGCGGCCGCGTTCCTCCTCACGGGCCGCCTGGCGCGCCACCCCGCCGCGGCCGCCGCCCAGGCGCACAAGCCGCCAGGCCACGCGCACGCTGGCGCTGGCTCCGTCGCGGGGGCGCACGCCGACGTGGCGGGCTGCTCGACGGCGGTCTCGCCGTACCGCAAGGTGCGCCCGGAGCGCGCGCGCCGTGGCATGTGCCGTGACGTCGACACCGTCCCGAGCCCGGAGCTCCGGCCGCTCCCGCCGCTGCGGCGAGGTGCGTCCGCGCTGACGCAAGGATCGTCCGACGAGGACGCGGCGTACTACACGCCTGGGCAGCGCTCGGCTGGCTCCGGTGGCGGTGGCGGCGGCGAGGGCGGCGGGACGTGGAGCGAGGCGAGCGCGTCCAGCCCGCGCACCACCACAGCCTCCCGCCGCAGCCTCCCCAGCCTCACCAGCGACTTCTTCCCCACGACGCCGGCCGCCGCGCCCGTGCCCGCGCCCGCCGCCGCTGCTCCCCCTCCTGCCCCACCCGCGCCACGCTCCCGTCGAACACCTCCTCGCACCCGCTTCTCCGCCGGCTCCGGCGCCGAAATGAACAAACAGATGGCCTCGCCACCCTCCAACCCACCACCCGCGCCGCCGCCGCCTCCACCACCACCATCAAGATTCAACAACACAACCCCAAAGCCTCCACCGCCGCCGCCGCCGCCGGAGCCACCAACTGGGCCAGTCTCTGCTCGCCGGCTGCTCAGACCGCTCCCAGCAGAGGGCCCCAGCATTGTGATACCCAGGGCGCCAGCAATGGCGGTGACAAAGGACAACGACGCCACCGCCGCCACCATGTCAGTGCGAACGCGGGGTGAAGCCGCCGGCGACGAGCCCCGGCCAAAGCTGAAGCCACTGCACTGGGACAAGGTCCGGACGAGCTCCGACCGCGACATGGTCTGGGACCGGCTCAAGTCAAATTCATTCCAGTTAAGATAAAAATTTCAGAAAAAAAGATCTGGAATTCTTATGCTGTTCATTACATTTTTCAATTTGTTGATTGCTGATATGAACATGTTGCAGGTTGGATGAGGATATGATCGAGGTGCTATTCATGAACAATTCGACAGCCGTGGCGCCTAGGATGGACAACCCGAAGAAAGTCGGCATGCCGCAATTTAAGCAAGAGGAGAGAGTTCTTGACCCCAAGAAGGCACAGAACATTGCCATCCTGCTTCGCGCGCTGAATGTCACTCTCGAGGAGGTTACGGATGCGCTTTTAGATGGTAAGCAATAATTGTTTGGCCTCTGTTTACTACTCTCTCCGTCCGAATTTTAACTTTTTGCTTTTAATGTTTGACCACTTGTTTTATTTAAAAAATTTGTACAAATATAAAAAACGAAATGTTATGCTTAAAATATTTTGGATAATAAAGTAAGTCACAAATAAAATAAATAATAATTCTAAAATTTTTTGAATAAGATGAATGGTCAAACAGTACAAATAAAATGTCAAAATCCCTTATATCATGAGACTGAGGGAGTATGATAATTTAGATAGGAAAAAAGGCATATCTTACTAAGGGCAAGTAATACTAGTTGTTGGATTCTGTTGTGATCTATTCTGAACTGTCCTCAGAAAAAAATATCATTTGAACTGTAGGGCAGCAGACCAGCAGTAGTATGAGTAAGGTTACTAGGAGTATAAAATACTACTACATGCTAATACAGCAATACACACCTCTCAGCGATGCAGAATTGGATAAAAACTATAAACACTTTGCATCTAATTCCAGTAACCATATGTTGTTCATCTATAAATAGGTAATGCTGAATGTTTGGGAGCTGAACTTTTGGAGACCTTAGTAAAGATGGCTCCAACCAAAGAGGAAGAACTGAAACTGCGAGATTTCACTGGGGACTTATCAAAGCTTGGTTCGGCAGAGCGCTTTCTTAAAGCAGTTCTTGATATACCGTTCGCCTTCAAAAGAGTTGATGTTATGCTATACCGAGCAAATTTTGAGAATGAAGTGAATTATCTCAGGAAATCTTTTCAAACGCTTGAGGTATTGCAGTTCACGTTGTATTTGTCTCTATCATGGGTTACTGCATTAACATATATTGTTATATGCCATCATTTACTGCATAAAACTAATACTCCATAAAACATATATGGACTAGATGCTTGAATTTGGACTGCACCATGGTAAAAAATTCTAATATATTACACTACCTGAATTTATATATCATCAAGCTGTGTTAGTTTTGAAAAATTTATGGACTCTAGTGCACATTTGAGTTACACAAACATTTAAAATTTCAATCCGAAATTAGTATGTGGTACACTACTTAACATAATATAAAGTTCTTTCAGAGTTTTTGTTCATGATTTACGAATCTTTCTAAATTCTTTATATCATGGAAAATTTTGGCACTAAATTTTTTTTTTGGTGCTTATTAAATCACATATACTGCAATAATTAAGGAACTTGACAATATATTCATGCACTCGACAAAAATGGGGTCTGGGAACCCTTGGGTAGCAATGTATTTTCACAAGATATTAGGAAGTTTGGAGATTTATATTGCAGATGGTTGGTCAATCCTTGGCCAGGAACATGCGTGATAACTATTGTGTGTTAACACCATTTTAGTTTGTTTGCTTGCTTTTCAAGCGTACTAACTTTTACCATATACAGAAATTATTATGAAGTCCTTAAAGTCTCTCACTGGCTCTTTTTAGTAGCTTAACACTTCTACTTGCTTTTCAGGCAGCTTGTGATGATTTAAAAGGCAGTAGATTGTTCTTAAAACTCCTTGAAGCAGTGCTGAGGACAGGGAACAGAATGAATGTTGGCACAAACCGAGGTGAAGCCAAAGCTTTCAAGCTTGACACCCTCCTCAAGCTTGCAGATGTCAAAGGCGCCGACGGTAAAACCACACTGCTGCACTTTGTCGTCCAAGAAATCGTCCGGTCAGAGGACGCAAAATCTGAAAAGGCTCCAGAAAACCACATCACAAACATCGCGAAAGTTGAACAGCTGCGTCGACAGGGCCTAAAAGTTGTGTCTGGGTTGAGCACCGAGCTAGGAAATGTCAAGAGAGCAGCAACCATGGACTTCGACGTGCTACACGGCTACGTATCTAAGCTTGAAGCCGGTCTTGGAAAGATCAAGTCAGTCCTCCAGCTCGAGAAGCAATGCAGCCAAGGGGTGAATTTCTTCGCGACGATGCGTGAATTTCTCAAGGAAGCTGAGCAGGAGATCGAGCAAGTGAGGCACGACGAGAAGGCGGCACTCGGAAGAGTGAAGGAGATCACTGAGTACTTCCACGGTAACGCGGTGAAGGAGGAGGCACACCCTCTGAGGATATTCATGGTGGTTAGGGACTTCCTCTCAATGCTGGATCATGTTTGCAGGGAAGTCAGCCAGCAGGACAGGACATTTGTTGGGTCAGCGAGGTCCTTCCGTATATCAGCAGCAAATGCATTGCCGATCCTGAACATGCAAGGGCAGAAAGGAGGAAGAGAGAGTAGCTCTGACGGAGATAGCCCGTCTATGTAGGAAGAGGTCAGACTTCAGAAAGGGAGGCACTCTGCATTTTTGGAATGAACAGAACCACAGCAATCTTTGATAGAAGAATACTTTGCCAGGACAGATGAAGCACACATGTAATTTTGGTGAGAAGAATTATAGGTGAAATCCTTTTGTATAATTATGGATGGTTCGAATTCTTTTTTGTACAAAATAAATAAGTTCTTGCTGAGTAATTTTGTTTAATTTTTTCGATAATGGAAATCAACCCAGCCTCTACATCCAGGATGTTTCAGGCCATGCTGATTAATTTTTTTAGGGCTATTCTCTATCGTTTCTGGTCTAAAATCAAATTATATTTTGGCCGTCTGATAAAACAGTAAGAAGGAATCGGTCTATAGCTTCTCAAGTTGCGCGATTAAATTGCACCACCCACTCATAAGTTGCTCTATGGACAACCCATTTTGCTTAAAGGAAAATACTCACAATATTGTTAAATTTGTGTCAAAATTATGCATCCAACTTCACCTGATGAATTCTTTGTAGAACGAAGAAAGATGAGAAGGGCAAGGAAAGTATCACACTGATTTTTCTCACTGGGAATAAAGAGAGACGACCAGGGAAGGACAACAAAACTCAAAAGAAATCAATGATAAAAATAGCTCCCAGCAAAGCCTCGTCATCATCATCATCGTAATCTTCTGCCGGCCTAGATCACCCTCATTTCTCTCTACCTTTTTATCTGCAAGCGACATCTTTGCGTAGAGGTAAAGAAAACCGAAGCATATATGATTACTGGGCATGCATCGCGTACGTGGATCATATCTTTCTGCAGAAAAGTTCAGTTGAGTCGCTCATTGTCTCCTTCTCTTAGTATATTTTGCTTTGCATTGACGCATCCAAAGAACCAAAAATTAGTCTTCTATGAGACACTTTGAGACACGGATGGGAGCAGGGAAGGAATGAAGAATTTGTTGTGGTCAGATTCGGCCATATCACTGCAGGCCCTATCCGGGAATCGGGGCAGTCTCTCTCGAGGCAGGCTCTACTGAAAAAGAAAAGCTGGAGATTTTCTCTGTAGCTTCTGTAAGAACTTTCACAGTACGCTTAGGTGTCATTCGGCTTGAGCCAACCAGGTCAAAGATTCAACTCCACGTCGGTCTCTCTCGTTGCCCCATGAAGAACACGGAGCCAAGTTGAGCCTCAGGTTCCTTGTCATGATTAGCATTTCTCGTGCTAAAATAGTGGCATCGTGGATCATGTATGCTTCTAAGGGCTTGGGCCTAGCTAGCAACCGACGCCTAGCAAGTGTAGTAACTGCACTGCTATCTCCATGAGAATCAAAACCAGAGTCCTACGCTCCTTACTATATAGCTGAGTGTGTTTAATTCACGTTAAAATTATAAGTTTGGTTGAAATTGAAACGATTTAATAGAAAAGTAGGAAGTTTATACGTGTAGAAAAGTTTAGATGTGATAAAAAAGTTAAAAGTTTGAAAAAAAAATTTAGAACTAAACTCCGCTAAAATCAAAACCTTCTATCGGCGATCGTGGGCGACGATTATGCACGATTGTCGGCTCAAGGAATTGGTGTTGACTGATGCGTGAATCATCAGCTAATAACACTCCTTCCCTCACCCTTTTTCTCATTTGTTTGAATTGTTTTTGGAACTGCTGTTTTTTTATACAGTGCTCCCTGATTGGATGAGGTGAACTGGTTGCAAGCTGTTCCACGGTGATATTGCTGTTCACATCATGCCTGCACACAGGCACACAGCCTACAGCCTAGTACTAATTAGGGCCTATTTCAAACCTCCGTATTGGAGTAGCATATTAGCAACATGTAAAACGTGTGGCCCGTTTTATTGAAGTAGTATATTAGTATTATGTAAAATGGACGGCTAGTATATAATTAATTAAGTATTAACTATTATTAAATTAAAAGATTTATTTGATTTTTTAAGAAAACTTCTATGTAGAAAATATTTGCACATATCATATTGTTTAGCAGTTTGGAAAGTTACATTAACAAAAACAAATAAGGAAGTAATAGTTTGGAAGTTGTAGTTTGGAGTTGAAATTTAGGACTCGGCATTGGCCCCTCTAGCTTAAATTCTCTTCACATATGAATTGACAGAGGTGAACTCCTGTGGGCCAAAAAAATTCTAAACAATAACCATTACTCCCTCCGTTTCATATCGTAAGAACTTTTGGTTTTACCTAGATTTATTCATTGATCAATGTATGTGTTTTATATATGCGTCTAGATTCATTAATATCTTTTACGGAATAGCTATCTGTCTGTCGCATGATTTTTATGGGCTGTATCATGCGTTTTATTGGCCCTCTGATATGTTTGAGATTCGTGCACTCTTTTTTTTTTCTATTTTCTTTGTGGGTTTTTTAGTATTTTTAGTTGTGGGCCTTGGGCTTTCACGGTTATGTTGGACCTTTTTTTCTCTTTGTGGGACCCACTGTATGTTGTGTCCATGAGAGTTTATGTAGGGCCCACTTTTACTGTTGAAATTTTGAAATCCGCGCCGGAGAGAGGGTTTGTCTGAATTACATCGTATTTACACTATAATTACATATGTAATTTTAGTATATTTACGATGTAAGTCTGAAAATTATATATGTAATTTTAGTATATTTACGATGTAAGTCTGAAAACTACTTGAGCCCATTTAAACCCACGTGAGCTTTAGATTGTCCACGTGGCCCGTTTGTTGTTTTGTATTTTGTTTGTATATATTAATGTCATCCGTTAGATGTTCATCTAAAGGGTAAGAAATCTGCATGATAGGAGGCTAAAAAATCTATCACATGATGTATATATAGTCCCTATCTTTTATGGATCTAGACAATGCTAGAAAGTTTTCTACTGTAAAACGGAAAAAAGTAGTTTATAACGCTTCTTTGAGTAGCGGTTGAATCGATTGGACCGACGGTCAGGCTGGCGTAACAGGTCAGACTTATTCAGCTAGACAAAAGCCCGTCTCTCAGCCAGTAACCGGTAATGGCCACAAGGCCTATAAGCCATAAGGCCCGGTTATTTGTTGCACGCTCTTGGAATAAGTTCAGTTTAAGTCCCTCATGCTCACACCTAGTTTAAGTTACATCCTCAAAAAACCACAATACCAGATATACATCATACGTATCTCAACTTGTAAAACCAGTGTGCCCAAGATTATAAGCCATAAGGCCCGGTTATCTGTTGCACGCTCTTGGAATAAGTTCAGTTTAAGTCCCTTATGCTCACACGTAGTTTAAATTACGTCCTCAGAGAACCACAATACCAGATATACATCACACGTCTCTCAACTTGTAAAACCAGTATACCCAAGATTCTAGGTAGTATAGTGTCTGGTTTTGGTTTTGGATGATGTGACGAGTGAGGGGGTGTTTGGATCCAGGGACTAAACTTTAGTCCCTTTCATATCGGATGAATTTGGAGTATTAAACATAAACTACTTATAAAACTAATTACATAAATAAGAGCTAATTCGTGTGACAATTTTTTTAAGCCTAATTAATCCATAATTAGCGCATGTTTACTGTAGCATCACATAGGCTAATCATGAATTAATTAGGCTCAATAGATTTGTCTCGCGAATTAGTCCAAGGTTATAAATGGCTTTTATCAATAGTCTACGTTTAATATTTATAATTAATGTCCAAACATCCAATGTGATAGGACTAAAAAGTTTTATCCCATTTAAACAGGGTCTGAGACCCACATGTGAGGGTTATTTCTTCTCCCTCCAACCACTCACCTCTCTCTCTCAACCTCCTATTCTTCTGTCTCCATCACCGACTCTGCTCAAGCTTCTCCTCTTCGGTAACGCGCGACCGCGGCCTCGCCGATGGGCGCGAGTCCCTTCCTCCGCCTCGGACCGCCCCATCGTCACCCAGCATCCGCTCCCCCTTCTTCTCTCGCTCATCTTCCTTTTTCCACGAAGCCGCGGCTTTGCATCACCGCCGTCCTACCTTGCTCTTCTGACTGATCAGTCGCTGCCACCACCACAGCAGGAGCCAAAGCCCAAAAGACTGGGAATGCAATCTCGGCAGCAGCCATGCTGCAGCGTCTCCATCGCCCACTCCATGAAATTTCTAGCTATCTACCTAGCCAGACAGAGAAATAAATTCCAAAGAAAAAGAAAACCAAACATATCAATCAGAGATGATGCCACCAACATTTTACTCTGATCAATGTCGATCCAGATGATGCACCGTTCTCCCCAAGATTCAACGACCTAGGCTAGAATACATTTTGCAAGCAGAAATTTGATTGGTGTGGGGAGACAAGATCCGGGATCACCATTGTCGGTTGTGGGGAGCGAAGCGGAGCTCCCCGCGGCCAGAACGGAGCCGCAATCGCGCATCATCGATCTCTCGCCAAAGTCGGTTCTCCTCCCACCGAGTCCCTTTGTCACCACATTCTGGGAGCTCGGTAAACTCCGTTTCACCTCCGCGGCCGCGGCCAATTTCGAGCAAGACGGAAATGCCCAATTTGATCCGCCGTCGGGCGCTCTCCATCCAATCCCCTCCACCTGGTTGTCACCTTGTCAGTCACCTTAGGCCGGCCGTCATCATCGAAGCTCCATCCCGCCGCTCCCGCCTTCCCGAACGAGGACGCCGCCGCGTCGGGACCGTCAGCCTCGCGCGCGCGTGCCTCCTCTCCACTGCTGGTTTCCTTGCCGCACAGAGGACGGCCTCCTCAGCCTCCGGCGAGGCCGCGGCCGCTCGGCGCCGACGAGGAGCGTGAGCAGAGTCGGTGATGGAGAGAAAAGAGAATATGAGATATAGAGAGGGGAGAGGTCGGAGGAAGAAGAAATAGCCCTTATATGTGGGTCCCACTCACCACACCAGCTAAAACCGAGATACTGTACAGTGTGGAATCTCGAGTACACCGGTTTTATTGGTTGAGGGACGTGTTATATCTGGTATTGCAGTTAAGGACGAAATCCAAACTCCGCGTAAAGATGAGGGACCTAAAATGAACTTATTCCCACGCTCTTTCCATCAATTTTCTAGGGAATAAGTTCATTTCCATTCCCTTAACTAGTGATTGAATCTGATTCGTATCCGTTAACCACAATACCATATATCTTGACCCCTCGATTATTAAAACCAGTGTAATTTGACTCGATGGTTTTGAAGGACGGTTTCGCTGACGCGGTGCCTATGTGGTAGTGTTGACCTGATCCTTGTCCCACGTGACTGTTGATGTGGTGCTT